CTACTACTACTACTACTACTACTAGTACTACTACTACTACTACTACTACTACTACTACTAACTACTACCTACTACCTACTACCTACTACCTACTACTACTACTACTACTACTACTACTACTACTACTACTACTACTACTACTACTGCTACTGCTACTGCTACTGCTACTACTACTACTACTACTACTACTACTACTACTACTACTACTACTACTACTACTACTGCTACTACTATTACTGCGACGACGACAACGACGTCGACGATGACGCCGTGGCGGTTTCTGGGTAATCATGCTGCAGGGCTGTCGCTGCCAGCGAGTGCGCGCAAATCCGCCACTCGCCAGGAAGAGGACGGAGGGGAGGAGAGGGAGCAGGAGGAGGTGGGCCAACAAAAAAGATCGTGCACCTGCGATGCATGTAGATCGAGGCTGGTCGCATGGCGGCCCTGCTAGAGTGAGAATGCAAAGCGGGCAGATCGGGCAGACGCTGAGGAGAGCGGGGAGTCGCGCCAGTCGTCGACACTAGTGGAGCTCGGCGTTTGAGACCAGCTCCTTCTGCAGCTGCAGCCTGCGCGCCATCTCTTCGGGCGTCTCCTCGGCATCAGCGTGTGGCTGCTGAGGCTCCGACGCCTCGGCCGCCGCCGCTGGTGCGTCTTCGGTGGCGCTGCTCGGCTGCGGCTCCTCGACCGCGGCATTGTCCAGCTGCGGTTCCCCGGAAGCCGTGCCGCTCTGCTCATCGAGAACGGCAGGAGCAAGGCCAGCCTCCTCCGCGCCCAGGCTGTCGACCGCGACGGACGCCTCGTTCCGCCCCTCTGCACCGAGGAGCATCGGCAGGGGCTCGAGGTCGACCAGGCCGACCTCCGAGGCGGCAGTCTGTCCGGGCGCGGTGGTCGAGGCCTCCTCGGCCTCGGCGGCGTGCGTTGCCTCCATGGCCCCCGCGGGTGCCGCGTCAAGCTCAGGGAGCTCCTCCTGGCTGATGGCGGGGTCGGCCTCCTGCGCAGCAGGCGGCTGCGTGGGCAGCACCAGCGGCTCGGTCGTGGAGCGGTGCAGAGCCTTCGCGAACGTGGAGGTGCCCTGGTCGGCGTAGGGCACGTTGAAGGAGGTCGACGGGACGCCGTTCCAGTCGCCGTCCAGGTAGCTCCTCAGCTGGTCCTCGCTCATGTCCTGGACCCTGGTCGGAGTGGCGCGCTGCTCGATGCGCGGCTCGTCGACCCAGCGCGCCCGCCGGGGGGCGGCCGGCTCCGGGCAGGGCCTCTCGCACCCGAACCTGTCCTGGAGGTACAGGGACTCCTGCACCTGCTTGAAGCTGGCCGTGGTCAAGAGGCCCGGGTAGACCTCCGGGTGCTTGGCGAGGCCTTCGGCCAGGCCGTAGGCCACGGCCGTGTAGCACCTCGAGTCTGGCAGCGCGTCGTGGCAGTCCCCGCTCGACTCCTCACGCGCGGGAGGCTCCCTCGGCACGGGCTCGGGCAGCCCCTCGCAGGGCCGCGGGCAGTCGGACTTGCCCTCCGCGTGCAGCTTCCTCTGGATCTCGTAGCGGGAGGACCTGGGGCTCAGCTCGGGGTACCAGTCGGGGTGCTTCGCCAGGCCCTTCTCCTGCAGCCAGGCGATGGACTTGTGGCACCACTCGCCCTCGGCCGCATCGTGGCAGCCCTCCGACGTCGCGAGGCGGTGCGCCCGGCTCTGCACCTGCCTGCCGCCGTCTTCCAGCTCGATCACCTCGCCGTCCTCCGAACTGCCCTCCTCCTCCTCTCGGAAGCCGCGCAAGGGCTGCTGAATCCGTGGCTGCTAGAATCGACCTCCAGGAAAGTGTCTTCGTCCTTCCGGGAAGAAGCCCGTTGACTGTTTCGCGTGCCGCGCCCCATTCCGCGGAGTTGTTTTTTCCTTCCGGGAGGGCCGTTTCAGCAGCCACGGTTTTAGCAGCACTCGCCCAGCTTCCGCTCCTCGGGGATCGAGAGGCACGGCCTGGGGCAGCTCGACTTGCCCAGGCGGTGCAGCATGTCCTGCACCTCCCGGAAGGTGTTGGTGCTGCCGTACTCGGGGTACCACTCCGGGTGCCTGTCGAACCTCGGGAGCAGGGCGAGTGGAGACATGTGAAGGGGCCGCTGGGACACACAAATACATACACACAGGTAATAGGATTCCCCATATGTTCTCACAGTTTCTGGGTTTTTGTCTTCCCCCCCACTTCCCATATTTTTCCCTATTTTCTGGGGAATCGACGATTCATTGTGTTTCTTTTCCTCCTGAACATGCCCTCCTAGGCTCCAAACGTACCCGTTTTCCGAGCTGCGGCCAGCCGTGGCGACGAGCCCCCCCCCCCTCCCAAGGCCAACTGCCGTGGCCGCAGCCCGCCCTTCGACCATGACCAAACATGCGGTGTACTGATTTTTCCATGCGAGGCCCCCGGAAGTCCCGACCCGCTCCCCGGGGCGAGCTTCTCATCCCGAGCCGTTTCGTGACGGCCCCGGAGCCCGGCGAGGGCCCCCAGGGGCCGAAAACGGCCAGAAGCCTTCAGCCCCGGTTTTTTTTCACCACGCGCGCATGTCTGGGTCCGAGAACCCCTCCTGGCGCAGCCACGCCACCGCGCCGTAACACGCGCTGCCAGGCTGGGCGTCCTCGCAGCTCGCCCCAGCAGCGTGGGGGTCCGCGTGCCTGGGCCCTGCGCGGGTGAAGGAGATGGCCGAGCAGCTCGGGGGGAGCCAAAGAGCACCCCCCACCACCTTCCTGGCCCCTTCCCCCTGCAGCCCTGCAACCCCTGCACGCTACCCCCCCTCCCTCGGACCTCCCCAGCCAGAAGCCCCCTCGCCCTCCCAAGGGGGGGGAGGGGGCAGGCGGGGGGGTATGCGCGATGCGCCCTATCTGATGCACGTCCTCACAATCGAGGGCCGACGCTCTGTGGCCCAGCCCCGCAAGGGGGAGGGGGGGCCAGGTGGGGGGGGGGGGGGTGCGATTCTTTTCCCCGAAGCTCGCGGTGAGCAGCAGTCCCGCCACCAGCGCTGGGCGCGCTGCCGTCGCGGGCGACATCTCCCGCAAGACGCACGGAAAGTATATCGGTGAGGCAGAAGGCAGTGCCTCTAGCAGGGCCTGCTCTTGAGTCAAGGCGACTTGAACCACAACGGCTGCGGAGGAAGAGGACGAGGAGGAGGAAGGTGGCAATGGAGAAGGACGGGTGGGGGAAGGTGGAGAAGGAGGAGGAGGAGGATAGGTGGAGTACACATGGAAGAGGAGGAGAAGAAGGGGGATAAGGAGGGAGAGGAAGTAGTAGAAGGAGGGGAGGACGACTGGAGGAGGGGGCAGGAGTACGTAGAGAAGAAGGGGTGAAGGAGAACGGAGTAGAACGGAGGAGAGGAAAATGGAGAAGCGGAGGGAAGAAGAGGGAGGAGGAGAAGGAGGAGGAGGAGGAAGAGGAGGAGAAGCAGGAGCAGGAGCAAGAGAGAAGGAGGAGAAGGAGGAGAAGGAGGAGAAGGAGAAGGAGGAGGTGGAGAGCGGGAGCAGGAG